CACAACAATGTTTCAGCCACTATTCTAATTGATCAGGTAAAAGCATGAGAATTTTAATTTTAGTGATTTGATTCCACAACAATGTTTCAGCCACTATTCTAATTGATCAGGTAAAAGCATGAGAATTTTAATTTTAGTGATTTGAATGTCAAGAGTCCATAGTCCTTCAGAATTCCAATTCATCCACCCAGTCATTACCTGTGAATCTACCTCCACTTCAACCTGATCTTAGCCAAAGAAAACAGTGACCTCAAGGCCTGTATCAATGGGTTGCTCATGCTTTAGTAGAGTTATCTTGGCCAATGGGTACAGAATAAACATGGATAATATCCACTTTACTGATAAAATCCACCAGCTACTCCTAAAGGGTTTGGTTGCATTACCACTTGTTTTGAGTATCTAGCAACCTCCTGCCAACCCATAACTACATCATCCACTGAGAAGTATTTGAACTTTTCAATGTCCAATGTGCAACTCTATTGGTGACCAAATCAGTCGCTTTGACCATTGTTACCAAGGTGGCAAGGTGCGCCTAGGTGATTGTTTTAAACAGAAGATGACCCTTTTAGGATATGTTCCCTGTTGACATGGAACATGTTTCTACTTGGATATGCCTTTCATATAGGAACTAGGCAGGTTAGTACAACAAGAACCAATCAAATAAACAAGGTAGTAGCATATTAAATCCAAGAAAACAAGTGTTGTTGTAGAATTCCAAGCAAAAGGCAATAAAAAATTCAATCTAAGCAATAAATATTACAGGAAAAAAAGCAATAAGCACAACTAGAATTTAAGTGCAAAGCAAATAAGCAGAAATGGAAGTTGTGCTTATTTCAAGCAAGAAATCAGAAACTCTAAGATCAAACATCCAAATTGAAGTTCAAAAATATTAAGAAAAACCGTAAATTAAAGTTTTATCCCAAAATGAATTGGTGAATCCTTCAAAGGATAACAAAACCAAAGGCAAATGCCTCTAGCAAGGTGATAATAGGAGTGATCAAAGGAGGCCTACGTTGCAGCTTAAATCATCAGATACCCAATTAGGGAAAGAGAAACAAGTAAACAAGGAGGGTGTTGAAAGTGCTGACTCTGGTGGGAAACTGGGAACTTGCCGATACAAACAAGCGACAAAAAGAAGGATGATTCAGATGACATGTCTATCCAGAAATTAGCAGAAAGAGAGGTAACAGTTGGAAAAAGCATGGGCTTATGATTTTAGGGTGGCAAGGAATTTGTTAGAAGGGCTTTCGAGGAGTTCGGGAGGAAAAGAAGGGATGAGAAGTTGAATAAAAGAGCTCGACTGAAAGAAGGCAAGGTTTGGGATGAGGAAGATTCTGGGCAAGAAGATGCTCTGGTGGACGAAGATCGAGGCTGTGTTCATATCACAAGTAGAGGCTTAGTCGGCTCACGGTCAGTATTGTGGCGGTCTCAGCTCTAGGGGTTTCCTTTTTAGTGTCTGGGGTTTGTAGCTGTCCTCAGGTAATGTGTGGTGTTTGCATCTTTGTGTGGCTTTGGGTTGGTTATGGTCGCTGTTTAAGGGTCTTTTGGATGTGCCTCTTTCTCAGGTGATATCTTATCACTTTTCTTTTGTACTCTTTTTCTTTTAATAAATCTTTTTTTTTCTGATTCTTAAAAAAAAGCCTCTAGCAAGGTGCCAACTGGCTAGTTGGTATGGTCTCTTGCTGGTTGTAGCGGAGACTTGGGATGATATGCACAAATCGAGAAATGGTCCAAATTTTTTATTTATAAAAAAAACCTCACCTGCACCAGGGTTGGGGGGATGGGCTACCCTCCGTTGTGTAGCGCCCATGGAGCAAAAAAAAAAAAAAAACGTTAAATACATCTGAAAAACATGTAGCGATCTTTGATTAGATCAATGTAACACTGGTATCTTGCAAGGAAACATGATAGGAAGAAAATAGTGAAGTAAATCAATAAATTCGATTGAGACTTGATTTGATTTAGTTTCACTTCTTAAACTCTTCAATCATTTGCTTTTCTACCACATAATGAATCTGCATTCCTTCCATTCGATAATACTAATAATTAGCTGATATACATATACAGGGGGATGATGATAAGTTCTTGCATGAACAATTGCTTCCTCATAAGTTTGAGGAGGCATGCAGGAATGCAAATGTTCCACTGCTCTTGCGCTTGCAGCCTGGGTATGATCATTCTTACTTCTTCATTTCGACTTTCATTGATGATCACATTCGGCACCATGCCCAAGCTCTTAAGTTGTGAAACCTGCATCATTGGAGGCTTTGAACAATCTAGGATGGATGTGTGTGCTATTTTTCTTGTTCTTGATTTGAGTTTCCTGGTGTACCTAAACTTCCTCAACTCCGTAATGCTTGAATAAGTTTCTCTACTATCTCCTGCATGAAATTACTCTTTGTAGGTTGAGCATTTCTCTTGGTTCTTACAACAATTTTCGACAGATTTGGCATGGGAAATAGGGAATAGTGCTTGAGATTACTTGCTGGTCGAGTCTATCATGTGGTAGCAATGACCAAGGTTTTTAAAACCGACCCAGAGACCGAACCAGTCAGGGGTCCGGTTACTGGGTCGAGCGGGGTTCAAACGGTCAGCCCTTTCTGACAAAAATAAAAAAAATAAAAAATGGTCTAAACCATTGAACGGTTTGAATGGTTCAACCACCTGAGTCAGTGGTTTGCTGACCAAATCAACGGTTTTTTGCAAAAATCCGGTTTTGGAGAAAACGGAATCGGTCACCTGACCAGTTCCTGCTTTTTTTGGTATGACGGTCTGGTGCGGTCTGGTTTTGAAAACCATGGTAATGACGGGTGCATTTGGTATTATCTGATTACTGTTGAATTTTACTTGGGCGGGTGTCACCTACTCACCTATTGAATGCTAGCTCTCACTATTGCAAGTTAACACTATGACACCCGAATGCTATTTACAACAGCTTGGCCAGGCCAACCAACGCAGGTGGAATTTGCTAAAGCTGAAATGTGAAATCTGAAAAGTAAAAAAGCTTTGTTTAACCATTTGAAATCTGAAAAGTGAAAAGCAAAGACCTGTTTCTCTTTTTTCTCCCCTTTTTAGAGCCATCGTAAGCCAACCAACGCAGGTGGAATTTGCTAAAGCTGAAATGTGAAATC